TGACCTCCCGCCCCGCTCCGCCGAGCCCCCCCGCGGCCCTGCCCCTCCCTTTGTCAAGCACCGAGGGTCTCCCCGACACCCCCCTCCCCGCCGCCTCTCCCTCTGTCAGCCGCCGAACTGCCCCCCGGGACCCCTCGGCCCGGCACCGGGCATCCCCCGGGAGCGGGGGCCCTGTGAGGGCACCGGCCTTCTCAGAACGGGGCTGTGGTGTCTCCCCGCTCCTCCCCTCCTTCTCGCCTCATCTTTCCACTCTCACCCCCCCGGCATCGGGCCGACTTTCAGCAGCGCGCCGGGAGGCAGCATCGACCCTTGGGTTCTGCCCCTGCGCCCCTTCCGAGGCATCGCACGGGGCTGCTAACCGGTTGTAGACCGTCCCGAGCTTGTCCCGGGTTCACCATCCGGTCCCCGCTGGTGTTGCTGAGGTTACCCGTTTCCCCACCAAGTTTTTGTGGGAAAGGGCCCCCCCCGGCCCTTCCCCTTTGCTAGCGAGCATGGAGTTTGCGGAGCTGATCAAGACCCCTCGAGCGGACAACGTCGTCCTGCACCGCCCTTTCTACCTGGCCGTGGAGGGGACTCTCTGTTTGACTGGCCATCATCTCATTTTTTCTTCACGGCGTCAAGATAACGCCGAGGAGCTCTGGCTGCTGCACTCCAACATTGATTCTATTGAAAAAAGGTACGCCTCCTAATTTCCCTGCCTACCCATTCCTTTCCGTTTGTGTCTCGTTACGGGTTGAAAAGTGGTTGTCAAGACTGGCCCATAGCTCAGCTGACTCAAATCCAAATCTGGAGAGGAGAAACAACAGCACAGGGCAGAATATTGGCACGGGCGGGTTGGTTCTCATTCTGTTTGGACATTGATATTTGTTGCATCTTCAGACTATTTTGTTGTCATATACCAAGTTTGAATTTTTATGTTTAAACACCTTTGTCAAGAGTATTCTGTTAATCGTTCGGTGGATTGCATCAGTAGCTCTTGAAACACTTTATAAAGGATGAATCTCTACCACCATTCAACGGAGATGGAAGCCGAGGCACTGATGATTTGCCTTGGTTCGTGCAGCAAAACTGATGGCAGAAGTGGACTCCGGACTTTCACAGCTCCTGATCAGTCTCCTGCTGCTCGACAGCATCATCGCTTTACTCCTCTCCAACTGCTTATGGAAATCAATAACACTCTAAGAGCATATGCCTTGTGGGAACAGTGTGGTAAAGCTGACTTGTAGCTGCAGCGCTCCATTTTATTTTCTTGATCTTCCCCTTTTCTTACAGGGGCTTCAGAGATTAGGAGTACTATCACTTCTGTCTGCTTGAGGTGTAACGTTGCCTCATCATGCTTTCCTTGTTGAGTGGCAGTCCCATCTCACCTGGCTGTTGTCTTCTGCTTTGTAACTTTAGTCCTTTTCTCATTTTGCTCATAATACTTTTTTTTTTTGTTGTTGATTACAAAGTCAATCCCCAGTTTTTCTCACCTCTTAAGGAAAGCTGGAACAATAGATCTCCTTTCTGCCATCAAGACTCAGAAAAATCAAGCAGCAGCCATAAAAAATATCAGGTTGCCTCAGAGCCTGAGATTAGGTGAAATACTGGGCGTTAATTAAGTTTGTTCCTGCTTCTCTGAGCATTTCTGCATTGGTTTCAGGATGGAGAGTAACACAGTGGTGGAAACCTGAGGAAATTTTTCCTGTCTAGTACTGCTCAGTCATCAGGGCAGTTTGGCCTCATCCTCCTGCTTGTACTAAATCAGCTGTAGCTCTGTTTTGAAAATTATTATGGACAAGCTTTTCTTTCTTTTTTTTTTATGAGCTTAGTTTCAGTCTTAATGTAAGTTAATACCAAGTAAGCAAGGAACACTTGCAGTTATGACGAGGGAGTAGTGCGTTCCTAGCTAGTACATGATTTATAACAGAGCTTGCTACAGCTGCAGATATCAACAGCCCTTGTTGCCAGCCCTAAATTCTAGAAGGTCTTAAGAGTAAATGTCTTTCTTCGCTCCTGGGAGTAGCTTTGTGTGAATGTAACTGAAACTCTGCCGTATAAAAAGATAAAAGTATGTCCTTCTCGGTGCTGGAAAAAATGGAACAACAAAGCTCTTAAACTGATAAAGGTTGTAGAAGGGTCCAGTTTGGCACTACTTCAGGTTATTAGTGCACAACAACTGTGGCATTGTGTCAGGTTCCTAAAATCTCTTCTCTCACTTCCATGATAGGAGTGCTTTTTGTAGAAAACAGTGTTTTCCATAACTGCCAGATGGTCAACAAACTGCTACTTAAATTTTCTGTGGGTTTTTTAGCAACTTAATTATTACGTGTGTGGTTTGTGAAGAAGTGGAACAGTCTCTGGCCACCTCCTGTGCTGGTTTTGCTTAAAAAAAAAAAACCACCACAGCCCTGGTGATGTGCTGTAGCTGCACTGTTATTACCTTGTAGAGCTGTGAAACAGTGCTGCCAGGAGGGCAAATGAAGACTGGCTCTGCTGGAGTGGCAGAACTTTTCTGTCAAAATGCCTGTAGTTCTTCATTCATCACTACCCAAACTATAATTGGTTCTGTGTGTCAACCTCAGTCTGTACAGAAGAAATAATAACCTTTCATCTGTAATAATTCTAAAATAAATTGCAGGCACCCTTTGTAGCACAGGTGAAGCAACCCAAAGCAACAGGTCTCCTCTTGGAGTGTGTACAGCTCTGCCCTTGTGTGTACATGGTCTAATGGAGGGTTAGACCACGACGGGCTGAAACTTGGTCCTTCGGGTCTTTCCTGCTTCTGCTTCTTGCATCGCACTTGGCTGCTGCAAGTGCTGCTGTGGTGAATGAGGAGACTCAGCTGCTTTTCCTTAGTTCACTGCTTTGTGAACTAAAATCTCCAGCGTTCCTGTGAACACTAGTGAGTAGTTGTTGTAAGGAAAACTCAGTTTCTGTTCAGGCATCCTTTCAGGTACGTAAGGAAGACTGGAGAGGGCGTCTGTGAGCTGTGTTTGTCTTGTAGAGCTTTTTCTGGGTTGACTTGCATTGTAACCAGCTGTGATAAGACCTTAATTTCTCTGAGGTCTGCAGAGCAAATGGCTCCATGACACTGAAGGTATCGAAGCAGACTTTCTTATTAAAGACGTGTGAAGTGTAATGTAGCCAGACTGAAATATTATTTAAAAAAAATTCAAATGTTTTCAATAATCCTCAAATTGTCAGTGCATTACTTTAATGAAACTGGAAACTTCCTGCTGAAGCTTCTGGTACTGACAGAAAATACCTAAACACACCTTTTCTCTTTCATGTTTTAAAGAAAAGCTGGGAGGAAAATCTTTTCTTTATCTTGTAATACTTACTCTTCCACTCACTGCTGTATCACAAGGATAGATTTAAAAAAAAAAAAAAAAAAGTGGACCCCAACTTGCAAATAAAGAGATGGTTTTGTTTATTTTTTTTAAAGATGATACTGGAGATAAATTACTACTAATGGAATTGTGTTTTGTATGTATATGTTGTGGGAAGATACCTCATCACACCTTAAAGATCCTGTTCTTAAGAGACTCTTTATGTCTTGCTGCAGGTTTGTGGGCTCATTGGGTACCATCATTATAAAATGCAAAGATCTGCGAATTATTCAGCTGGATATACCTGGAATGGAGGAGTGTTTGAACATTGCTAGCTCTATTGAGGTAAGAATTCATAATGATAAATAACATCCGTGTTCTCAGATCTTGGTCTGACCTCAACCATAACAGCTTTTTTTCCAGTTAGGAAGGTTTTCACTGATGTTCTGGAAGGCTAGTGAAAGAATGGTGGAATTGTGGAATATTTTCTTTCAGTTGCTAAAATATTGTTTGTTGCTTGTAGGTGTTTTCCTTAAAAAAAACAAAAAAACAAAAAAAAAACCCACACCAAAAAGCCCCACCTAACCACTCTGTTCTTCTTGATCGAATATCATCTTGTAGCATTTGGGAAAATGAAGTTTAGCTTCATTATGCTGGAGCATGAGGAGACAAAACAAATCAGACTAGTTGCGTTTTGTGTGTCTCAACGTGAAGTGACTGCTTAAGTTTAAGCTCTGGCTTTAGTAATCGGCTAAATGCCATGTAGGATGTGTCCCGTTATACCTGTTCAGTGTGCACCTTTCTCATCCTTTGGTGTGCTGTTACATAGCGTAGCCTGTGGAAATGATACTCTGTGTACAAAGTTGCATTTAGATTGTCTGTTATAATCTGCTTTTGTTTGTGCTACTGGTTTTTATGTGTTAAACTACCCTGTGGGTAACTCAGTATTGCAAGTTTAATGGTTGTATGATTTTAGGTGGCTTAAATTTGCATCGCCAATATTAGTGACTTATTTGATGTGTGTCTTTTGGAATAAAATAGTAGTTTGAATGAATTAAGTAGCTGTTTATTTCTTTTGCCTGCACAGGCACTTTCCACCTTGGATTCTGTCACTCTCATGTATCCCTTCTTCTACCGACCCATGTTTGAAATCATTGAAGATGGCTGGCGCTCTTTTCTGCCTGACCAAGAGTTTGAGCTCCTTAGTTCAGTGGTAAGTTGGATATTAAGGATTTGCACAGGCATACTTGTGCCCAAAGTTTGTGAAGTATTTCACCAAGTAGTGTCTGGACTGGAAATTCTGGATGGTCACAAATAGCTGTCTGGTGCCTGGGTGAAAAAGTGAGTTCAAATATTGATTCTGTAAATACCAAGTATTTCTGTTTATGTGCTAAATTTTCCTGTTGAGCACTTGTATTTCACCTTGTACAAATGGAGTTTTGAGGCCTGCTTAAAAGTTACCTGGGAGGACATGAAGGGAGGAAATGTTTTTGTCCTTATTGTAAGAAGAAATTTAAGATTTGTGGTACGGAACTTTGCATCTGAAATGAAGTGGGATGAATCTTTGTCAACCCCTTTAGTGAAACGAGGCTGGTTTTTAAAAAATTGCTGAGGATTTCGTAGCTGTGTAGGAAGATGACAGTAGGTAAAGATGCCCAGTCTGAAACTCTTAGCTCTAGTTCATGCTGGGGAAATACAGGGAGGGTTTAGAGAGCAAGAAATTTCCAGTCCTGTTCTTCCAGGTGCTATGAGCACACGCTGATATTATTGTCTACCTGTAGGGTAGGAATTGTTCTTGTGGCGTTGCCTGTTCTATCTGTTATTCAAACTCCATTTTAGGATGCTGAATTTGATATAGTGGGAACTGGCGTGGTTGCAGGAGCCTACCTATTTTAATAGTGCCTTGGGTTAGCATCTGTGTTCCAAGGCTTTGTTTCACATTAAGTACGTGCACTTGCTGCATCATCGTAGGTTTCTGAGACCACATCCATTAGTACAGCATCAAACAACATTGATTTTTTTTTTTAATCTGCAAACCAGCTTGTCTGCAGCATTTATCACTTCCTGTTCATGACTAATAACTGAGTAATGTGATTAGCTTGACCAGATTCATATGATGAAGTCACTAGAAAATTAAAGGAGTTCAGAGATCTTTCTATTTTTGTCTCATAACTAGAGTGCTCTCACATGTCCTATCTTCAGCTGCTGTCAAAAGACATATAAGCTGACCTGTTATAATAACTAGCACCACAGTTTTGGTTTTAATTTCAGCTGGGGAAGTCAAACATGTGTTCTTCTATTTGGAGGCAAAGCAGCAGATGCTTTCCCAGCTCAGCAGAGGAAGCTTGGAGGCATTTCAGTGAAAATCAAAAGGCCAGAAGCTGAAGTATTATCTGGTGAGAAGGGAGGAATGTGAGAGGGGGACTGGAGGCAGCAGAAGGAAATCCTTTGGAGCTCAGTGAAACACTGCAGATGATTCTGCTTCCGTTTGCTTTTAGCTTTCTGTGTGTAGCTGTAACCTGTTTTTAGATTTCAGGGCTCAAATAACTTCTGATGCTTGTATTTACCAGCATGATACAGGTGCTAACGTGGATCTATTGATATGTTGCTCTATTTTTTTGTTTACCTTTTTCTGTCAGAGGTTTAAAAAATGCATTGATTGCTTATTTGTGAATTTCTTGGCTTTCTGAACATTTGCTCCTGGGGAGGCTTAAAAACCAAATTACTTTAGAGTGCTATGTTTCAAGGGCAATAATTCATTTCTTTAAAATACACATGTCTAACAGCTCTTGATTCATTCTTGGCTTTTAACCCAAAACTTCATATGTAACTCCTTTTTAATGAAATGGTGACAAAAGCCATGTTCAAATGACTTGCGTTTCCTGAATAACAGATAAATATACTGTTGACCAAATGTTTCTTGTTCTGTAATTAAACTGTCTTATGTGACAGGCTAGAACAAGTAAATGGCTGATTTAATTTTTTTTCTCCCGTAAGTCAAATGAGTAGAATTCAGAAGGTTACCTCCCTCTCCATTTAATCATCCATCTGGATCTGTTATGCCCTACCTTCCTCAATACGGCAACAACTTGTCAAAAACTGCATTTCAGCCACACTGCAGCTCTAGTAATATATTAATTCCACATTTTTCTGCTACTGGAGAGTTGTTTTAAATCTCTGACACATTCTATAATGGCTAAGTAAAACTATAAGGATTAGGATTTAAAAAAAAATGTTAGCTAATACATGGAAAATGTAGATAAAATGTCGTTATACCGTATAATCATAATTTATTGGTTTATCTTGGCATATGTTGTGCCGGATATGTTTGTTCTCCCAACACACATACCCGCTGTGTGATTTCACTGCTTTGCATTGATGTGACAAAGTGTCATCCAGCACTGCCCCTAGAATTTGTCACTTAAGCACTTTGCCCCTGCAGCTCAGTTCCAGGATCAGGGAGGCTGCTGGACTATCACAACATCCTTGCATTTAGTCTGTGAACGTGTTAAGGGAAGAACTGTTCAGGCAAGTGCCTTCATTTATCTAAAGAGATTGAGGAATTACTAATTACAGTGGGCTGTCATTTGCTGATGGCTGTTGGGGTGTGTGCTACCTGTTTATTTTCTTGGGAAAAACTTTACAGCACAGGTCAGCGGGGCTTTTGTCAAGTGTCTTCCCATGAACTGCTGTTGTGATAAATTCAACGTACCAGAGTAGTTCAGCTGGGAATATAAAGAAATCAGCTCAATGTTTCACTAAATGTCACAGCAAAAACTCCACAGCGCCTTCAGGCTCCAAATTATTGTACTGCAAGGTGAGACTTTGAAGGTACTGTAGGCAAACATATGAATGGAGTAAAAGATGCACGGGATAATTAATGTTTACTCATCCAGCTTTTGGCTGTGTGTTGTGTTTTTACTCGAAACACTGGGTACTACATGAGATCTGCATTGATTATAGGTGTGTCAGGTGAAATATGTGTAAAAATTCATATTTTTCACTGTGCTGCTGCTTAACAGTGAGTGGCTGAATGGAATTAGAGGTGTCTCAGATTTTGTCTGAGTAGTCAAAGAAGAGATAATAGGTTTCTCTTCTGCCAGATTCTACAGCTGCAGGGTACTGTAAACTGTAACTCTGGAAAGTCAGTTTCATCTTCAAGTTAAATGTAGAGGCCCTGAGAAGTTTGTGCACTGACAGTATAATGAATGTGAAGGTATTTCATTGCCACAAAATTTCATTGCCACTTTCTTCATTCTCTTTTTTCTTTTTTTTTTTCCCTTCCATTTTGTTGTAGGAAATTACTCAGGATTCTAGTTGCTTTATCTTCTGTACTGGAGTTTCTTAAAAACTTAAGTTTTCTGCTTTTGGGCTCAGTTCACAATGGTGCAGATAGCCCATATTTTGCTTTTATCAGACAAGCATCAATTTTTGCTTGCATCTGTTGTTCTGCTTCTTGTCCACGCACAATCTGTTACTAACAGGGTTTGTTGCCTTCTGCCTGTTCTTTGGGAATGGCCTCTGTCATTGCTACTTTGCAAGATCCTTCGAGGTCCCTGCTGGCTTCTTGACTTTTCTTTTAAGGCTTGTTAGTAGAGCTCAAATTGTTTCACACTGTTTTGTGAAAAACAACATCTCTTAGCAATTAAAAGCCTTGGGAGGAAGGATAACTTGTTTTAGCCTTTCAGTAATATTTGAGTATCAATATCTCTAACAAGTACTAGGACAAGAAAAGTAGAAATGTAAGTTAATCCTGCACTGTGTTTAAGAAAATACTTCTGACTACTTTTTTTTTTCCTTTGGAGTCTTCTTTCTGTTCAGCTCCCAATCCTTTGCTGCTTCTGGCCTTAACTGGAATTAACTGTTCATTCCTTAAACTATGGATCTCTTGCTGGAAGAAGTAAATCTTAACTTTGTACTTTCTATGAGTTTCATGCAGCATACTGCATGAAATAGATGATGTCTGAAGATGAGCTCCACGTCTTCTCCCTCACTGCAATCCTTACAGCTTCCTGTATCTGCATCTACTGCTGCACATAGTTGAATTGCTGTTACCTCGCTCTTCCAGTTAGTAATGGCAATTTTTTTTTTCCACGTTGCAAACGTGCCTCAAGCAAAAGAAGAGACTTGCACTGTTGGGTTTTACCATCATCTGATTGATGCTGGAGTATATTTTAGCAGTCTGAAGCTGGCATTGCAGAGGTTAACTGGATCTCTGTAGAAGCTATGCTACAGAAGACAAATGGTGCTAATTGCTGCCTATCTCTTCCTCCTTCCCATGTGACAGTAAATTATAACTGGATGACACAACAGTATCGTCTGTCTCATGTTATAAATGGTGAGGAGAGGAGGCTATGGGCAGAGTTAAATTACCTAAGTGGGAGATAAATCGGGTCAATACTCTTCCATTTCTTTTCATACTAGTGATATCAGTGACAACCAGTCTCAAAAAGCATACCACAGAGTTGTGACTTTGCCTTCCCTCCATCCTATGTGGCAGTAAGGTATTTATCCATGTTTTTTTATTGTAAACACATTGCACGCCATCATATGAAATCTGCTATAATTTGATATAGACACCCCAAAAAGCTATAAAAATATCATTGTTGGTGCATTAAAAACATGAGCTGTGACCAGCTGTCCTCCCTTACGTGATCCAGAACTTTTCATCTCTGCCTATGATGTGATTGCCAGAGGCTCTGTAACTGTGTCTGGGAGAACCTCTGCTTTTTATAAAATTTAGATATTCAGAGAAGCTGTTTTGAGGCTAATGAATAATGAAATAAGCTTGCAACAGGGACAGTGCAAAACTCTCCAGACAGGCTGCTGAATGCTGGTAGCAATTGCTGTTTCTGATAATGCACACAGCGTGTACTTTTCCAAGCATCTTTTTCTTAGGCTGCCACCAAAAGGGATAATTTTGCTGTCTCTTATACCACATATCCCGTGCCTTGGATCTACTGATGATGAATAGTGTTGTGAATCAGTTCAGCTTGCTCATCTGATGGAAAGACTTCACTGCAAGAGAACCTTTCTAAATCAATCCTAGCTTTCCATCAGACCAGTGAGTCATTTTTATAACCAGATACCAGTCAGGAGGTGTAAGGCAAGGGGTAGTAAGCCTCTGGAAGAACGAGGAAAAGAGACCTACTTCTGCTCAGAGCTGTGTAATTAATGCATGCTAAACCAACTTTCCTGAATTGATGTGGAGTTTTTTTGTATTTTGTTCCTGCATAATTTAACTGTCATGCTCTTCTCTTACTTTCTGGGATACCTGCTTTATCCCTTTTATATACCTTTATTCCTTTTTTATACCTTTTTGTCTAGCTGAAACTTTGAACACAAATGAGCAGAGTTTATAGCATCTATATGAGGTCTCTACCTGCTACAGTGGCATGCAACTGGTTCCCAGTTTATACTGAAAACACCTCAGCTGAGGAGTTCCTTCAGGTCTTGTTTGCTTTCTTACCCCTGTGTCATGTCAGTGCATAGGAATTAAATAAATAAAAAAAAAAAGATACCTTGAAAGCAGCTGCCTGTTCCTCTTCAAAATGTTTTTGTATTTCAACTTCTTCGTGTCTGGAGCTTTCACAGGTAAATTTGACTGCTATTCTGATACTTTTAAGAATTTAATGCTGCTGTTAAAAGACTCTACAACATGTTTTAATTTTGGGTTATTTTCCCCACCAAGGCTTCTGCCAGCAGGTTTTGTTGGCTGTGAGGAATACAGAGTAAGGATGCCCTGACTGAAGATGGAGCCCAACCAAGCCACCATCCTGCTATCAAGAACCATGAGCTCAGTTCCCTGCCAAACTTTAGGCAAAGTTCTGCTATGTGCCCTGGGGGGAAATATATGTCTCATGGCCATTTCATGTACCTGTATGGTGTCCTTAAGGCAGCAGGCAGTGGTGTGGTACCAGCTCCGAAGCAGCAAGCCCTCCATGAAGGCTGGGCTTGTCTGAGGCTGCAGTTAAGACAGTGTCAGCTCTTCCAGCCTGGACTTCAGTAAGTGAGGAGTCCTCGTCAGTGAGGCCACTCGTTGACCTTTGGTTTTGACTAAGGTGGAGCCAAGTCCTGTGTCTGGCCCTGGATATCGGGTAGCCTGAGTGCTTGTGCCAAGTGCCTGCGAGGGTGCAGGGTGCCAATATTCAGCACTTTACACAAGCATTTGGCTGTTGGAAGCTGAAAAATTATATAAGAGGAGTTCATGATGAGACCTTTGTGCTTAGATGCTGTGCTGGTTCCAGGAGGTGCTTTTGAAGCTGTAGTGATTTATGTAGAGCAAAGCCCATAAAAAAACCAACACCAAAAAAAACCAAAACCACAAACACCTCCCCCGCCCCCCCCTGCCAAAAAAAAACAACAAAAAAAAAAACAAAAAACCCACCACACAAAACAAAAAATAACCAAACCCCAAACAAACAACCTGGAAATGTTAAATTGCTATTTTAACCCGAAAGCAGCTTCATTGCCTGGAGTTGGTGGACACTCTTGACTTTCTTGGCCACCTTTGTCTTGTGGATGGTGTTACTAACTCTGCTCTCAGCCCAGAGAGAGGTTTAAGCCCGTTGCCTGCATCGAAATAAACATTTTTTCCTCTAAATCCGCTGATGTAGGAATACTTTTCTGTTCTGGGATCTCCCTGAGAGACATAGCCTGCTTTTACTTCCCGTGGGATTGAAGTGATCTGCAAGTGCAGTAAGCTCTGTTGTAGTGTGTGCTGCAGACACGCTGTCTGCTCTGTCTGTGAAATAATTACAAGCCACAGTTGCCCCGTTTCTGACCACGTAGGCTTATTTTGTGCTGTTTGAGGATGTGGATGAACCAGATGAAGAACCGTTGTTCAACAAGTCCTGCACCTCAAGAACCAGGCTCACCTGATGAAGCTCATAAGCAACAGAAGAAATTATCTGCACGCTGGGTAATGAGCTCTGGGAGCTGCTGCAACAAGATACTATGACTGCAGGCAGCATCGAGAGGTGTGAGGGGAGAAAAATAATCAGTCAACAGACCTATAAATAGATAATAACTAGGCAGGGATATATCTTCTAATAACTAATGCAACATCTGAGAGGTAGGGGATGAGGAGTGCGCTGCAGAGAGCGGCCAGGGTTGTTTATTCTTGAATGGCATCTCTTTTTGCTATGTTTTTGTTAGAGACAAGTTACAATGCTGCATTTGATCTGATTAGTTTCATTATGCTGTTCCAGGGGAATCTGGATTCCTGGATGAACAAAAGTGATTATGCCAATAGTGACAGCTGAGCTTTCATCTGTGGTGCAGGTGGAATAGATCACCAGTATTATTTCTGTGTGTGTTTTATCCTGAATAGGGAAGTGCCTCTTCCCTGGTATGTTATGTTGTAACAGTAATAATCTGTTTTGTGATCCAAAGCCTATACGTTCTGATCTTTTTTCAGACAGATGAATGGCGTCTAAGCTGCATCAATAAGGAATTCTCTGTCTGTCCCTCCTACCCTCCAGTTGTCATTGTCCCCAAATCCATCGATGATGAAGCGCTTCGGAAAGTTGCCATGTTTCGCCATGGCAGTCGCTTCCCAGTCCTCAGCTATTATCATAAGAAGAATGGGATGGTAAGTTGCATTTGAATAGTGGGTGTACCCGAAGGAAGCGTGTGAATCTGTTTCTTTAATGAAAAAACTTGTGCTCTAGACTTAATACAGTTCATGAGCCGTTCGCTTGTTTTATTTTCCGAATTTACTAAACGTATGCAGTGAAACTGGTTTCGGGTGATGGAATGCATAATCTCCATCCTAGAAACAGCTATTAATCCACTTGTTTGGGAGTGTATGTGGCATGAGCTTGCTCACAGCAAGCTTTATTTGCCAAGGAGCTTCATGCTGAAAGGATAGCAGGAACCACATTGTCCTGTCTCTGGGTGGTGGGCTGTCTCCTTCGTAATAGTCACAATGACAGCAAGTGTGCCCAGAGCCAGCACTGCTTCTGCTGTGTAACTGTCGAAGGAGCGATCAGAACAATCTGTTCTCTGAGCCAGTCAGTGTAACACGTTGTGAGAGCACCAAATTCTTGGTGTTGCCCAGACTTTACCACCTTTTGACGAGCCAAAATCTAATTGAGGGACTGATACGCTATGATTAAGTAATGTACTTTAGGAAATTGCTGAGTAATTCTTTGTAGCTTTTGCTGATGTGACCGGTTCTGAGGATGTTGGGATGTCTAACCTTCAGCTTGTAAACTCCATCCAGGCTTCTGAGTCGAATGCTCTGTGTTCTCACCGCCCATTGCCAAGATTTGTAAACCCTGAATTAGAGTTCATCTAGTCTGACTTAGTAGTACCTTTGGGGTTTTTTTTGCTTTCCTTTAAAATCAGCCATCCATCACAGTTGTGCTTTCTGCTTTTTCTCAGCTTGACTGAAAACTGTTGAAGGAAGATTTGTTCAATTATCTCTCCTCATTGTGCGTGTTTCAAGTGTGAGGAATAAAACAGCATTTAGTTCGCAGTGCTTGAACTTGTGACATGTCACGTTGCTCTTCTGACTCTCAGTTCTCGAGCATAGTTGGGGTTGCTAACTGGCTGCCCTCACATTTTAGTTATCATTTGAGCTGCTGGGATGCTTTTTGAATTGAAAGGCATTTGCTATAGAGAAATCTCAGCTCATAAATCTGTGGTTCTAGGTTTATTAGTCTAGCCACTGGGTAAAACTGTACCTAGGAGGCATCTTTAACAGATGAATGACTCGACTGTCTTTAAAAACAGAGTTGGAAAGAGACTTAAAGATGACAGTCCTGAAAATGTTGGTTTATAAAGGAGCCATCAGCAGGAAGCCAGTTCAATGGCTCACAGAGATGGTACTACAGGAATACTTAAAGGGATAAAGCCTCTGAGAAGACATCTGTAACTTAGAAAGTGGCCTGCCAAATGATCACTCAATTCAAGGATTTCTAGTTTGCCTTTTAAATAAATTACATCCCTGCAAGCAATTGCACTTAAAAGAACTGAAGGATTGGGGCAAGGGAGAACAGCAACTGTAGGAAGAACTAGAGATTTTTCTGTGCACATCAGGGCATTTACTTGTCTGTGTCCAGGCGTGGTGGATCAAACTTGCAGCAGGTGGAGGTAGGAAATGCAGCGGGGTGAGAGCTGCACCTACTGCTGTAACTCCACAGAGAAGAGCTGGAGATCCAGGAGGGCCCCACTTGAATTTTACCCCTGAACTGATGGCAGAAGCTTTTTTTTAAGGTTGAGCTATCTCATTCCTGTAAGCATTCTTACAGTGACCTGAGTTTTTTATGGAAAATAGGAATATTCTCTGTGAATTTCAGCAGCTGTAGGGAGCCATTCTCCATACCTGGTGTTGAGACCCAGTGACCTAAGGCATCAGTTTGCAGTCTGCATTTCCAAGCCCCTAAGAAATCCTCCAGTGGAGGGGTGTCCTTCGCATAATGAGTTTAAACCTCCAGTTCTGGTATTGTAGCTCAAGAGATTGATGACTTTCAATCTTAAGTCTCTACGTTTCCAGTGCCTAATTCATGCTTATTTGTCCCCGCAGGTCATGATGCGAAGTAGCCAACCTCTTACAGGTACTAATGGAAGACGGTGTAAAGAAGATGAGAAGCTTATTAACGCCACACTACGGCCTGGCAAGCGTGGCTACATCATTGATACGAGGTCCCTGAATGTTGCCCAGCAGGCCAGGGCCAAAGGAGGAGGCTTTGAACAAGAAGCACACTATCCCCAGTGGAGGAGGATTCACAAATGCATTGAGAGGTGGGTGAAATCACCCAGGCTCTCCTCTGTGCTTGGCTTTGTAGGGTTGCACTGGCAGAGCCATGCTAGCTTCATAAAATATTTGCTTCTGTAAGAAATGGCTGTGCACCCTAGTCAACAGGGTCACATTCCTTTTTTTTTTTGGTGAAATCACGGTATGTGAATGATAAAGGTATTTAGCTTTGGAAAGCTCTGTTCCCTTGTTCTGAACAATCTGCTGCAGGTGTCAGAAAACAGGCATCTTTTCCCTGTGCCATCTCTTTCTCTGAGCATCTGTAGCTGCTCTCCAGCCTTCCTGTGTTCCCCTTTACAATGGTGCACAGGAATGAGAAAGTCCCTTGCCAGAAAATTCTGCAGCTGGGGATCTGTTTTGTGGCAGTCACGCTTCTCTTGTGCAGTACTGTTCTCTTGACATCTAGTATTGTTTGGTCATTTGAAAACAAATTACTGAATTAAATAGACTTTTAGCCTGACTTTGTTTAATTGCTCTTAAGCCTTAGTTTTGGGGAATCCTTCTACAAGGGCATGCAGTAATGTTACTGGAACTATTGGAAATCAGCTAATCTGGAGCACCTCCCCTGTGAGGACAGGCTGAGAGAGTTGGGGGGTTCAGCTGGAGAAGAGAAGGCTCCAGGGAGACCTGAGAGCAGCCTCCCAGGTCTGAAGGGGCTGCAGGAAAGGGGGGAGGGACTCTAAGGAGGGTAGGGATAGGACAAGGGTAATGGCTTTAAACTGAAAGAAGGGAGATTTAGATTAGATGTAAGGCAGAAATTCTTCCCTGTGAGGGGGGTGAGGCCCTGGCACAGGTTGCCCAGAGAAGCTGTGGCTGCCCCCTCCCTGGGAGGGTTCAAGGCCAGGTTGGACGGGGCTTTGGGCAACCTGGGCTGGTGGAAGGTGGCCCTGCCCGAGGCAGGGGGGTGGGACTGGGTGATCTTTAAGGTTCCTTCCAATCCAAACGATTCTGTGATGCTTTTGAGATCAGTATATTTCTGTAAGCATGTTGTCCTGTTTGCTATATTACTACTTAGGTTTTCAATAATATTTTGCTTTTCCCAAAGGTTTAATATTCTGCAGGAAAGCCTCATCAAACTTGTGGAAGCTTGTAATGACCAGTCACACAACATGGACCGCTGGCTCAGTAAACTGGAAGCTTCCAACTGGCTGACCCACATCAAGGAAATACTGACTGCAGCTTGTCTAGCTGCTCAGTGTATTGATAGGTAAACCTTTTTCAGAAAACCAGAGTTTTTCCTTCTATCTTTATAAATTGCTTGTTGAATACCTCTATTTAGTAAGTGGCTATGGTGAACTGGCTTGCTTGCACCCATGCAGGATACTGCTTCATCATCATTAAGTAGTGTTCCTCCAGTAAATCATGCTTGCATTTTTAGAAGTACAAGCCTGAGGGAGGAAATCTTAACTAACAGCAGGCATTAGATCATCCTGTTAAGGTATATTCCTATGTCTGATGCAACCAGTCTAATTTAGTTAGTTTATTGAAAGTTTAGATTAGAGCATGACCATCTGAAATACTTTTTGGTAGCTTAGTAAAGTGAGAACACAAAGGGGTTTTTTTAAAAGTCTTTTTTTTTTTTTAGCTGAAACTTTCCAACACCGTACCTTACTTCCAGAGATTAAAACAGTGGCATTTCCTTTTTTTTTCCCTAGGAATTGGTCCAGTGCTTTTTCCTCTTGAAATCTTGATCTTCATTGTCCTGTCTAAGCAATCCTGTTCATCCCTTATGCGTGCTTGTGACCTCTTTTAACCTGACATTTCTTTAATAAATGCTGCTGACTTGCCTAATTTGTCTTCAGACCTCAGACTGGAGAGCGAAAGCTAGCTGTCAGGTGCCAGGGTTTGTCAGACCAAATGCAGGGGTCTAAATGTGATTTCTTTATGGCTCTGAGAGGGGAAAGCCCTTCTCAAAACTTAGGGAAAACCTAGCTTTTTCATACCACCTAAGGAATGTGTTATGCTGATACACAAGTAGGCTGAAATGCAGTCTCACTGATAAATCAGCATTACTGCATTAAAATATGAGTTGCTGTCCTTTTTAAAAGCACTGATGGTGCCTGTTTAGTTATTGGCTGTGCCAGAGAAGGAGTGCTCTTGATCAATTGTTTTATCTCTAATTCTTTCCCTCATGTGTATAACGAGAAAGATCAGTGATGAAATTCTTCTGGCTTGTTGGGACAGTGGACAGTTTCATCATTTTTAACCTCTACTTTGCTTTTTCTGTTTACTTGGAGCTGTGGCAGGCCAGCTCAGCATTGGTGCCTGGCCCACCTCATCCAGAGCCTGGACATCGTAGCTGAGCTCGTGAGGATGGTTCAGTTATTGGCTGTGGGGAGGGAATGGCTGGGACAGATCTTGCAGCATCTTAAAGGTCTGGAGCCTGAAAGACAAAAGGTGAAAATGTGTTATCCTGGCGTGTCCCGCTTTGAGGAGTGCATAGGCTTGCAGTTGGCTGATCATGTTTGGCTGTTAAGCAGCCTCTTTATCTGCTGCTCCTGGGGGAGGAAGAGAAAAGGTGTCTGAAGATTATCTACACCATAAAGGCACTGGGTTTGTTTTAGACGTAGGAATATAGACAAAGATGTTGCAGTGCTTAAGGTGTAGGGTTTTATGCTTCTCACTTCAAAAAGCAAGTAATGTGTGCAGTGTTACTTCTAGATTGATCTTTCTTACCCATGCTTTGCTCTTTACCTCGGATCTCTGCACAGAAACAAATACAACCTGCAGTTCATTTCCTTTCTAGGTGTAAGGATGTTGGGAGCAGTGAGACATTGGATCAAGGTTTGGGAAGAGTAAGGGGAGTGAATGCCATTTAATACCATCCAGACCTTCCTTCAGGAGCATATGGATGAGATTTTGATATTGTAGCCAAATACAATAGGATGGAGGAGAGAGGAGGGAATCAGCTGTTCTGATTCCCCATTGGATTGTGGGGAGTGACAGCACATGGGCCCCAGCAAGGTGCAAAACCTTCCTGCTCCAAACTCTCCAAGCTCCCTCTGCTCCTCACATTGTTCTTGCTGAATCACTTGTGCTGGCTGGTGAGTGAGGAGTCTTTGTGCTTGGCTTTTTGACAGGTTCCCTTGCTCAGCACACTGCTGCCTTTCTGGAGGCCAAGCTCTGCCTTTTATTTCTTTCTTTCTCCTGAACTGGCTTTTGGGTTAACTTTTCTTTCAGTAAACCCCAGTTGAGGCCCAAATGCAATTAAGCCCAGGTTTCAGGAAGATTCTCAGAGTATTGCTTTGCAGAGCATCTGAGGGGATGGTACATCTTCACTGCAGTGCCGATGGGAAGATTTCAGAGTGCTTAGCAATAAATGATAACAAGCAAATTTTGAGATGGGTTTCCGTGCTGTAACTAAAAGAGGTACCAGTTCAAAATAGCGAGAACCACAAAAGAGGTCTCACTGTGCATGTTCTGTCAATGTGGCTAAGGGTCTGGATTTCCAGAATGCTTAGCCAGAAACTAAGCCTTGCATGATGCAGAGCTCTGGTTAGTGTTGGTGAGGATCCACGTGGAGAAGGTGGTATTGCTTCTGCGTTGGGTGGGGAGAGAAGAAGGGGTAAAGAGCCAGTGAAACCTCAGCGTTGTCAGGGTAGTGACACTGGTAATGTAATGGCACCTTCTGCATGCGTCCTTGGGATGGCTTCTACTCATTCATACTCTTATGCTTTTCCACCTTTTTTTTTTTTTTTTTTCCCAGGGAAGGTGCATCAGTGTTAGTTCATGGGACTGAAGGAACTGATTCGACGCTCCAGGTAACTTCTCTGGCACAGATTATCTTGGACCCGAGGTGCAGGACCATACGTGGCTTTGAATCTCTTGTTGTGAGGGAGTGGCTGCAGGTAAGAAATGCCTATGGACCAAACAGCAATCTGTTCCAGTGACAGCTGTATTGAGAAACAGCAAACAGGTTGGGCCTTGTTTCAGCCCTGCTTAGTGTAAATGGCCTTAGTCTTATTAGCAGCATCGTTAACTGAGTCATTTGTACCTCTGGTACTGCATGGGGCCTCTGCCTCCCGTGGTTGTTGTTTTGATTTTGGGGAACTGCCTGTTTTGTGTGCTCAGGGTGAACATCTCTTTAGAGAACACCATTCAGACTAAACCACAAAACCTTAGTTCTACTCATTGTACTTTTGCAGCTAATACATATCCTCAGCATGGTCCTTCGGTGCACCTACACCAGTTAGTTCGTGGTAAAATTCTCTGATCAAATACAGGGCTGCCTGAAAAAGGCAGCAAGGTTGCTCATGGTTCCTAGCAGTTTGTTACTGGATGCTTGATGAAATCACTGTTGTAGAAAAGAGTAGTAATAGCATAGTTGCATAGGCAGAACTAATGCTAAAGTTGTTTTGCTACACGTACTACTCGCGTCCCAGTACTTTGTGTGTGATGCTTTCTCTGATTTTTATGTACAGGCTGGTCACCCTTTTCAGCAGCGCTGTGCCCAATCGGCTTATTCAAACAGCAAGCAGAAATGGGAAGCCCCAGTGTTTCTCCTCTTTTTGGACTGTGTGTGGCAAATCCTTCGTCAGTTCCCTTGCTCTTTTGAATTCAACGAACAGTTCCTTATTATGCTCTTTGAACATGCTTACGCCTCACAGTTTGGGACTTTCCTGGGAAACAATGAAAACGAAAGGTTGGTGAGGATGCTTGCTTTGAACCCTTTAAATACTGGACTGTATCTGATTAAAAAAAAATAAAAAAATGTTTCTTGGTTTGAAAAAGGGTGAGGGTGCTTGTCCAGTCTCCCTTAGCACGGGTGAACTTCTCTTGTTGCAGTTATAGTCTGATGCAACGTTAGGGAGCTTGTCCCTCTTGTAAGTGAGGCAGTGTGACTAAAGAATTTTGTGGCATGGTCAAGGAGTTGCGTTAGTCTTCTCGGGTAATACCTTAGACTGTCTTTTCTGTTTCCCTGTGTGGCCTTGAATAATCTCCACCCGTCACCCATTTATATAGTCTCTTACACAGAAAGTCTTTCCACAAAAGAATAAACAGCCAGAGTTCAGCGATGTGTATCATAGCTGTGGGAAGCAAACTTGTCTGTGCAGGCCTGGAGGAGAAGGTCAAGGCAATCAGAGGCTAAAGCTGGAAGGTCTGGTTCTTACCTTAACTGTCAGGGAGGAGCATGACTCTGTAGCCTGATGGTCCTGATGCCCCTAGGAAGGGAAGGCTTTGGGTCTTGCCATTAACTGCTGAAAGTGGAAACCGTGGAAGATGTTGTGTCAGAGGGATCTGCCTCACAGCTACATCTTGGCAAAAGCTTTACTTGTTTGGTGTCATGATTAGGTTTGAGGTGGTTTTGACCATGTAGTACAACTTCACCAAAAGGACCAAAAATCCCTCCAGCCTTAACCTGTGACTTGGAAGCAGTGTGATTGGCAGTTGGTTCTGAGCAATGTGCTGACCTCAGATGGATGCCTCTGCAGCTTTGAAAGGAAACAGGACTGTGTTTTGCTGGAGTCTGCTTTGTCAGGTAGTGATGGGCCTGTGCTGAGCTTAAAGGCCACAAGCTTGTAAAGTAGCTGAGCAGACTAGCACCTAGCTTCTGAATCCCAGCCTGGGTTAGATGCTGTGCTGCACCAGTGGGGCAGCTCTGGGCATGCCCTGAGTAGGGCTGCTGGAGTAGTAAACAGGGTGGAGCCCAGGAGGATGAGAACCTCCCGTGGCAGATGGCAGCTGCCAGAGAGGTTTGGATTCTGGTTTGGAACTTGGCAGTTCTGTTCTCTGGACTCCCGACTCCAGTAAGACCACATCTCATGGTCTTCTGCTTAACTGAAGACCACGGAATGAGGAGGAAAGAAAAAATTACACATAAGGAAAACAATTCAAAACTTCCTGTAAATCTGTCTGCCCTTAAAGTATTCTTTGCTTGGAAGAGACTCTTCTGCCTTCTGCAGGGCTGCTTAACTGAGCACCTACAAAACCAAGTTAGACTTGAAACCAGTAAGATGAAATTTGAAAGAACACTGACTTACATCTGAACATGTCACCATGTGAGCACAGGAAATGTTTGAAGTCTGGTGTTAAGCTTGTGCTGCCTGAATTATTCACAGGGACAGTAAATCTCCTGCCTGGGTGGAAGTTCCATTTGCTAGTGCATGCGGAATGAAGTTTGCCAGAATCTGAGGAATAGAGGCCCCTTTGTAACTCCTGGAGGTGGGTTTGACCCAGGAAAATGTTTCCTGCCACCAGAGGGACCTAATCAGAAGTGCCCATTGCACAATTCCAGCAATAATACTGCTTTAATGTACTCTGATCCTTCCTTGATGCAGACCTACCACACCTCCCAGCTCTGTCTTAACACAAGTTCAATCCCTTTAAAACCTGGTAGTCAAACACTCTGGGGAGGTGACTGATTCTTCATCTGGACAGAAGGCAGCTAACTTCCACCCAACCTATAAATGTTATTTCCCCATCGTTTCTTCAAAGCTAATTGTAATTGGCCAGGTGGAGTAAATTGCTTTAGTTTTACACACTGTGCCATGTTGGTGAGAGGTATTGAAGGGATTAACCTGCATTGTCTGGGCTAATAGCACATGGGAAAGCTTCTGGCATTCTAGTCTGCGGGGTTCTGATGAAATAAAATGAGTCTTTACAGCATAAAAGTGAAAGCTAACTACTTCTTACGGGTTTTCTAGGTCTAAGCTGAAGCTGCTGCAAAAGACTATGTCCCTTTGGTCCTGGGTGAACAGGTCTGAAGAGCTGAGCAAATTCCAGAATCCTCTTTTTGAGGCCAACAGCCTTGTCATCTGGCCCTCCGTTGCCCCACAGAGCCTGCAGCTCTGGGAAGGTAGGTCAGGCTTGTTTTTTCTGTTACAGGCAATTTTGTGGCTACTTGTAAAGCTTCTCAAGTGTTCAATCCTGTTGTCTCTGTTCCGTGCTTGGTCTGCCTCAGCTGATGGTGATCTCATTCCATTTGAAATCTGTTCCAAAATATTTTTGGCATGTACCATCCCCAGAGGCATAATGCTTTCTCCTTCTAAGGTTTGGTGACATGCTACTGTTTGCCAGGGAGCCTTCCTAGTACCATTAAACTTCTTAATTCAGTATTTCTGCAGTGATAATGCCTAAGATGTTCTGCAGGCCTAAGGTTTTTGTTCTATATCAACCAAGACTTCCCTTTCTCCATCGCTCACGATGTTGGCCAGGAGAATCTGTGTGCAGTAGGTTCCCTGCTGCAGAAACTTTCTCCATCCCATGTATGCCATCTTGTTAACAAGAGTTAAATTACACTGAAGCAAGCAGGCTGTCACGGCAGGGTGGAGACTGAATATGGATTCATCTGATCAAATATGAGGAAAAAAAGGAGTGAAACACCCTCGTTTTTTCTTTATTAACCCTATTTGGTAGAAAAGTGACCTCAGGGAGGGGGAGATCTGTATTTCTAAATGGTATTTGGGGGGGGAAAGGGAAAAAAAAAGTACAATATGCACATTACTTGAGAGCTGTTGGAATGTGAATAACATTTCCTCCTTGTAACATGAAACCCTTCTGACTTGTGCTGTTTCTGGGCTTCCAGGTGTCTTTCTCCGGTGGAACAGGCCTTCCAAGTTCCTAGATGAAGCCCATGAAGAAATGATCAGTATTATAAAATACAACAAGGAACTTCAGGCAAAGGTTAATGCATTGAGAAGGCAGCTAGCAGAGATGGAAACAGATGATAGGATGCAGGAGAACCTGTGAGCTGGCAGGGCTTTGCCTCAGGTCTTTCCTTTTGAGTCCCTTTTACGTTAAAGACTGAACATGGAAAGTGCATGTATTGCAGAGCCCTCAGTCCTCCCACTGCCGAAACCTTCACTTCACACTATGTACCTCTCTGCTTTTGGGAGGGATTTCTGTTTTGTTTACAGAAGACATACACAACTGGGCATAGTGTCCTCTCTTGGCAGCTTTTCTGTCTCAAAATTGTGTACAGTGTCAGCAGAAGCTGGAACTCTTACCTCCACCCAACTCTATGGATGACCAGGATGGGCCAAGAGACAGGATGTTTCAAATTTATTCTGGACTTTTCCTGGTTTTTGTTGAACTCTCTAAACACTCGGCAGGATTAAAAGACAAAGTTATGTGTAGATAGGTAAAGGCATTTTGTCTGAAAGCACTTTTTCTCTCCAAGAGCAAGTAGGACAGATTAGTTCTTTAGTTTCGTAGAAAAACTAGAAAATGGTATAATCCAACTACAGGTTCTACCAGTCTGTATGATACTCTCAGTAGCCTTCACATCTAACACTTGGGGTTTTTTGTGTTAAACATTGGCTTGGGAGCAGTACGTTGAATACCAAACCAGAACAAGAAATTTCAGTGCAATACAGAACTAAAGTAGGGATTCTGCTGCTAATGTTTAAGCCATGATCTTCAGGTGGAGTTGTCCCTCATGGACAGATATCTCCTAAGGAAAACAAACTTTTTTTTTGTTCTACCTGGAAATCAAAAAGGTTAAGTAGTTGGTGGAGGTGTTCACTTGCAAAGCAGTGGCTCAGAGCTGTCCTAACTAGGGCCAAGCTGCCTGCTTGAAAACTCAGACTGCACTGGCTGTTTTTGTAAAACTTGAACAAGTTCTCAGCATTGCTAGGGTGCAAGAACAGCACTTAATCTACAGCTCAACAAAACACTTTTTGTGCCACCTGGTGTGCTTTTTCCTCTCATGCTCTTACTATACATTTGATGAAACATCGAAAGCAGAAGTTGGGAGTTCAGGTGATCTGGCACATCGGGTGGCTGCTGCAGATTGAGGCCATCACACTACAAAAATGCTCATAGTTTAGATCGTTTGTAGCTGCTAAAACTGCTTAAATACTTTAGAGATAAATGTTTTTTCCAAGTAACTTTGTATTTTGTAGCTGATCTTTGTTTCTGTGACTGCAATCTTTTATAAAATCAGAAGTTTTGCTAGAGACTTTTTTTTGGTTCTCCTTTAAAAAGGCAGATAAGAGTGGATCTGAAATACTCCCCTAGGCATTTGTTCAGCTTGGTTCCACTGATAGCTGTACATGACTGAGGAGACTTGAATTAACAACAGTGCTTGTGGCTGGGATTATCTGAAAAGGCCCTTGCTGTTGGCCTGTTTCTGCTGAAATGAACGGAGGCTGTGTCGGGTCAGTGGTGATCTCTTTGGGAACTGCTGAGCTTCTGTGACACTTTATGCTGTTTTGCAGTGAAGCTGCCTTTATTTAAAAGCCACTTTGCATAAAGATAGATATATGTGAAAACGCAGCATCTTTAGCTGTCATAGAAGTAACTGGAGAATAATCTGCAAAACTCATGTAACCACTAAAAATATTCTAAGTTCTGTAACCAAGGAAGCGATATAAAATTACATCATAGTGATTAAGTGCTACCTTAATGCCTTCTGCTTCGGTCCTTATTTCCCTAATTATGTTCTTCTTGACTAACCTAAACTTAGTCCTAAAGTCATCTGGCTTAAAAAATAAAAAGATCCCTCTTAACACCATTGTTCACTTAAGGCAAAATAATAATTCCCCCTGCTTGTAATACCAATTTTGTTTAGAGATTGACAGGGTTTTTTTTGCTAAATCGAGTCTGCCACGGGGAACTTTTCTCAGGGTGGCTGGTGATGGGTGCTGTGTAACAGGGGAGGCACAGATTGCCTGTGCTTTCTCCCACCTCCAAACACTGGCTCCTGGAGCGACCTTCTGGGTATATTGCAAATGTAAGGCCTTGAAAATTATTGCTCACCCTTTAAAATGATGTCTGTGGGATCTGCACCTGCCTGGATGTTGTATCCCTATCCAATTTGGAATTTCTACTGTTCCTGTAATCTGAAATGCATTATCACTAGCCAGATGGGAAGGATTCAGAAGGCACTATTTTCCCCATAATAGACTATACATAAAACACACTTAAAGGTTATGTAATTTCCTAACATAGTAATTATATATTGAGCTAAATAATAGAGAAGCAAAGAGGGTTTTTTTTTTCTGATCTAATTGCCTGGCTGCTCTACTCTCGCATGCAAACTGCAGGCATCTGAGGAAATTGGGTAACCAGCTGTGACAGCTAACAAAAGGCAGAAAATTCTCTCTGAGCTGGCATTTCATCCTCGACTTGTATTTCAGGACCGAATCCACCCCTGAGTGCTGTGCGCTTGCCTTGGCTTAGTGGTGGTGTGGATCACAGCCCTCGTGTGAAAATGCTGGTGGTGTTCTGAGCAGCCACAGCAGCTCCTTCCCCCATTTCCTCTGCAAGCAGCAGGAGCTGGAGGTTTAAGTTAACCTGCAAATCATCACCTCCCTGAGACGTACAGTCCTGCAAGGTGTTGCAGGGGATGGAGTTGAGATGTGTGGACCCTTGCAGGTCCTCCTGGGAGAAGACAGTTCACTTGTGTCAGGCTACTTGTGTGTTCTCTTTTAACCTTTCCGTTCCCAGGCTGCAGTCTGGTGGCTACTGCCAGTACTCACCAGAGCACACCAGTTCTTTCCTTACCTGCATTTCCACCATATTTATTTACATATTTAATATTGATAACCAGCTTGCTTGCTCTTAGAAGGGATGTCTGCTGGACCCTGCCGTGCAAGTCGCCTGTGTCTCCCTGAGCTGTAAGCACTGTGGCAGTGCCCGGCTCTGGCTCTTCAGTCTGACGCTGCCTTACACTCTTGCTGACACCTTTGCTTCTGCTCTTTTGCACATAGATATTTGTGTAAGAAGCTGGACACTGAGGAGCCCCCTTACCCAAACTCTGGGCTCAGTCACTCTGCCATTTACCCAAAAAAAATAATAAATAAATAAAGGGAAAAGGAACTAACTTGCACAGTTTTCATAAGGGAATATGTACCTTCAATATTTTGATTGTATTGATCTAACTCTTGAATGTGGCGACCGGTTTAAGTGCACTATTGTCCATGTTGCATATGATATAACTTAAATTGCACTGTACAGCATATTGGCGTCTAATGTATGCTTTGCTAAAGCCTTGGAAAGTGCTATCGTGTACAGGTTCCTGTATGAGGGGAAAATGTCTACACTAGCACTCCCTTTTTTTGTAACTGTGTGACATTGAAGAGCACTGTGTGATGTGTGCTATGTATCTGTTAACTAGTACAAATTTCAATGAGTGCACTTCTGTCCAGACATCTGGAATTGCTAATTGGATTTGGCTGCTGCATCACTCTTATTTTATTTTTTATTTTTTAATGAAATAAGTAACAGGGCTGGGAGTTGTGTGCTGTTGTTAGATGTATGCCGTATGTGTACAGAATCCCAGCTGCTGTGGTGTTGAATATATTGCAAAAAACCAAAAGTAAGGAAAACTATTGTGACTTCAATTGCTTAGCCTTTCGGAGGGAGAAAAGCAGATAAAAGTGGCTGTAAACTTTGCTGTAGATATGTTCTCCACACAGTAGAAATGTCTGTTCAAATTAAAACCTTGAAGACTCTAAAAAGTTCTTTAATTACAGCGTTGAATCTTCTTTATTAGTCCTGCCTTCACTTTCCATTGGAGGGATGTGTGTGTGAGACTTGGATGTAAGCTCTTGCCTGAAACTTTTTTGCTGCTTTTTCAGCTCGTGTGTGTGTTTTATTTTTTTTACAGCTGAACACACGCTGTGATGGTGGAAGAGGGGTTTGTGCTGCAGGGCTGTGTGGAAAGGAGCAGGTTGAGACCCTGAGTCTGTTCGTGGCTTGCAGAGCTCTGCTCCCATGGTTTGGTCCTTTGACACCAGCTCTGCACGTGATGGATAAATAGTTCAATTGGCTGCAATTTTATGCTTGTATTGTACTCTAAAGGAAGGCAGGCAGACAGATTTCTTGAAAGGGAGAATGGTTTGGACTGAAGGAAAACCTTGCAAGTCCATCAGTAGACCTGGGGTCACAGTTACCTATTGTTTTTTGAGGGTGGTGGGGTACTTTGGTGTAGTTGCCAGGAAAAAAAAAAAGACAAACAGCTCTTGGGAAACAGAGGCTGTGACCCATGGAAACTCCTGGATCTCTCCTGGCTGATGGGTCTGTAGACTGTTTCCCTGCAGCATCATTCGGGGGGTGGGTG